GCGGGACTCCGCTGCCGCTTTGCTCCCGGTGCCTCTGGTCTGCTGGGGACCATCTCCAGCAGACCAGGGACACCGGGAGCAGCTTTTCTCGCCCCGTTGTTCAAGGTGGTGGGACCGCTGCGCTCTGGGCGGTCCTGCTGCCTGCGAGCTCCGGGGAGAGAAAGCCCCGTTCGTAAGTGTGGATCCGACATAAGTCGGATCCGCGTAACTCGGGGACTGCCTGTAGTAAACTAATTTATAGGACAAATCCAGCAAACAAACTAAAAAGACAAACACACACAAAACACACTTAACTCTTCAGACTGCTCATAGGATGTTAGACTAAAATGCCAGGACACCATTTCCAAAATTTGTGAACATTATTATATTACCTGAAACAGCTTAACCTCCTTTGGAATAAATCAACTTCTGTTAACATTAATCTGAATTCATCTTCCACCTGACTGCAAAAGCAAGTGTATGTCTGGCCAGCCTGTAGGTACAGGTTGGACATCCATAGTCCAGCACCCTCAGAACCTGAGTGGTCCCAAACCAGAGCTTGCTGAAGTAGGAAAGGTCAAATCTCCAGGGTTGGTCGTCAGCCCTGCTGTGGGCTCTGCCTGTCTGGCAGAACTCATGGGTACTGTTTCCCCTCCCTCCGCTGGGGCTCTCGGCTGCAGCCTCGTGGTCACTGCCAGCCCTTCTGCAGCCCGTCTGGCCAGAAGCTTCCTAGCTGCTGCTGGGCTCCCAATAGGCCCCCAGCAGCATGCAGAGTTAAGAATCCAATGGTAAATGTTCAATATAATTTACTCCACCCATTTGTATATGATAAAAAAACCTAAAAGCAAAGCATTGGGAGTTGAAAAGGAAAAAATAAGCTGTCGCTGAAACCAGACAATAGAAAGTGAATTGAAAACTTCAAAGAAACTTGTGATCTAAAGAACGCTCTTCTTAACTGAAAATGTATGGGTATTCAGAGAATCCAATGGTAAATGTTCAATATAATTTACTCCACCCATTTGTATATGATAAAAAAACCTAAAAGCAAAGCATTGGGAGTTGAAAAGGAAAAAATAAGCTGTCGCTGAAACCAGACAATAGAAAGTGAATTGAAAACTTCAAAGAAACTTGTGATCTAAAGAACGCTCTTCTTAACTGAAAATGTATGGGTATTCAGATAAGACCATAAGATGATCCATGTGAATAAAGCAAAAAAACAAAAAAACCCCACACACTTTGAAAATGTACTTCACTGTGAACTGACCTGGTTGATTTTCCAATATTCTACAATCTGAGCTGCGCTGAAATTCACCACTTAAATGCCAACTAAATTCTTGACTGAAGGGACAATAATCAGCAATTTCTACTGAGCCACCATAATAAGGCAAATCTTCTGACGGTACTCCATTAAGACTGTCAAAGTACTGAATTAAAAAAAAAGAGAAGGCAGTGAAATAGTTTGTGCAGCAAGTACACGTGTACATTTAGCTTTTATTTAACCTACAAACATTACCAGTGCTCAAGTTGGAAATTTGTAACAGGAGTCTATGTTTAAGTAATGCCTTTGAGCCAGATAGATCCTAAAACACTTTAAACTCTGCATGCATATACATATATATGCACACATTGTATAAATCACTTTTCCTACCAAATCATAACTTTGTCAGGAGAGAAACGACACTACTTTACCAATGCACAGCATATCAGGCAGCTGTCTAGGTACAGAAATGAAGGAATACCATATATAGAAAAACCTTCCAGGGAAATTTATGAAAAAGTGTGTAATGACTTAAGATGGAATTTGTTCAGAGTTATTAAACATCTTTGTTCTTTCAAAAGAGACCTACATGAGCTTTCAAATGTCAGTTGCATTTCTTTTAAACATGGCACTTTCAGCAACATTTATTGCCTTCACATATTAGTTCAGTACCAAATCAGAGGGAACAAATGCTACACCCTAAACCTTTGGAAATCTTGACCACCCAAAATCAATTCCCCTCTCCCACACAATTTTAAAAAAATCTTAAAAAAATAATTGGTTTACTGGATTTGCTTTACTGAAGAGCTATATCCATAAAGTAAGATGCATTGTACCTGATACTCTTGAGGTAACCGCTTTGGGAATTTCTGTAAATTGCACACTGCTACTGCCCTTTGGTCCTGTCTACAAGTTAACTGCAGTGGATTACTCCTCAAAGTGTCACAGTATGGACTCACCAATTGCCTCCTTCAAAAGAGCAAAGAAAATCTTAGCTGAATTAGATCATATTTATAACAATTGCTTTTGCTAGGCAATTCTATATGGCCTGATCTATTTTTCTCCCTCTCATATTGTCCATCATGTGATTGGCACTGGTCTCTTGGTTGGCTGCCAAGTTTATTATTGCAATTTGTTTAGTTTTGAATGTCATGGAAAATACATCCATATGTTTACCAACACAATAGTCTCAAAAGACTAATCTAGGACACACTTACTCATCTAGCAGATCTAATTTTTTGCTATTTTCCTCACAAATATTTATGCAGGTAAAAGAATTAATATTTGAGAAGGCCTGCTAACAATATTCCCCCATCAGTAAGAACAATGAGCTCCAATGGAGTATCTAAAACAATACTAGAACTAACATAAACCAGGCCTGTATTTGAAGAGGACCTTAAGCCACTCTCCATTGTTGGTGGTGCAATCAGATATTTAAACTTTTAAGAATACTGTCATTTGCACTTCTAATTCAATGGAGGCACATAAGAGCATGGCCACTATTCAAGATCAGACATAAAAACAGAGTAAAAGCAAGGATATTAGAGATGGAAACCAATAAACTATTATTTTTGCACAACCTAATAAAAGTGAGTTGATGGTCTATACAACAGAAGAGAAAAATGTACAGTAAACTTCCGATAATCGGGCACCTTTGGGACCCAGGGGGTGCTTGATTATTGGATATTCCAGAGTACCGGAAGGGGAGCTATGAGGGGTCAGGAACTGCTCAGGGTGGGCAGCACTCCAGCTGCTCTGCCCCTGGCTTCCCCAAGTCTGCTGCTGGTCAGTTTCAGCAGTGGCAGACTTGGGGAAGCCGGGGACAGAGCTTCCCCAAGTCCACCACTGGTCAGTTTCAGCAGTGGCAGACTTGGGGAAGCCGGGGACAGAGCAGTTGGAGTGCTGCCGGGTTGGTCCTGCAGCGCCGCTCAGTTGAGGGGCGGCGCTGTGGGACCAACCCAACAGCACCCCAGCTGCTCTGCCCCTGGCTTTCCCAAGTCCGCCATTGGTCAGTTTCAGCAGCATAGGACTTGGGGAAGCCAGGGGCAGAGCAGCTCCAATTGTCCAGCAGGCCAGAGCACTTCTGGGTTCCAGTTGGTGCTGGACTATCAGGAGTACCGGACCACTGGATGCCGAACAACTGGAGTTTTACTGTAGATGAATACTGAAAAAGCACACTGCAAGTTCAGCAGATTTCAAAACATCCTATTGTAAAACATGCCAAAGAGGAAACATTTACAGAGGATACAGGCAGTCCCCGGGTTACGTACAAGATAGGGACTATAGGTTTGTTCTTAAGTTGAATTTGTATGTAAGTCGGAACTGGCTCCAGATTCAGCTGCTGCCACTGAAACTGACCAGGGGCTGACTACAGGAAGCTGGAGGCAGAGTTGCTCTGCCCCCAGCTTCCTGGAATCAGCCTGATCAGTTTCAACAGCTGCTGAATCTGGAGCCTGGGACAGAACAGCTGGGGCACTGCCCGGTAGGTTCCCACAGGACCAACCCGGCAGCACCCCAGCTGCTTTACCCGAGGCGTCCCGCAACAAAAGCCTGGTCTGCTGGGGGCTGGGCGCACTAGCTGCGCCCCCTCGCCCCCCAGCAGACCATGGAGACCCGAGCAAAGCCTCACTGGCGGAGGGACCCCGCTGCCCATGCGGCTTTGCTCCTGTCTCCCTGGGGTGCTGGGGGGAGTACCCCCCAGCAGACCAGTGGGACAGGAGCAAAGCCGCGGAGCACACCCGCAGCGGGACAGCCCGGGCGTGCCTGGGCTGCCCGGCGGGGGGTGGGGTGCCAGGCTCGTTTGCCCGGGAGCAAAGCCGCCCAGGCAGCGGGACCCCCGCCGCCTGGGCGGCTTTGCTCCTGTCCCCCTGGTCTGCTGGACCCCCCCAGCAGACCAGGGAGACCGGGAGAAGCTTTTCTTGCCCCGGAGGACACGGGCGGCGAGAAAAGCCCCGTTCGTAAGTGCGGATCCGACATAAGTCGGATCCGCATAAGTCGCGTTTGCCCGGGAGCAAAGCCGCCCAGGCAGCGGGACCCCCGCCGCCTGGGCGGCTTTGCTCCTGTCCCCCTGGTCTGCTGGACCCCCCCAGCAGACCAGGGAGACCGGGAGAAGCTTTTCTTGCCCCGGAGGACACGGGCGGCGAGAAAAGCCCCGTTCGTAAGTGCGGATCCGACATAAGTCGGATCCGCATAAGTCGGGGACTACCTGTACTTATTGTCAAGGCCATCTGTCCTCTGCTGCAAGTCAAATGATTCTGTAGCACTCCAGTGAGACAGTCTGGAAATTTTGTTGCAGCTAAAATTGAACTGTCTTCCAATTTAAAAGCTACCATGTGTTGCAATGAGTGGGACAGGCATCAGACTTGTGGCTCACACCACTAAACAGCCATACATTTTTTGAAATGTATAATGAGTAAAGACAAACAGAGGAACATAAACACTGAGTTCTTAAAAAGTTTGTTCTTACTTCTCTTTCTTTTGGTCAATCCAAAATTTACAGCTTTTCATCACAAAGTCACAGCCTTTATCTCGGCCCCAGTCTAATTTCTCTGCCATGCTGTAATTGGCTTTATACCAGCTGTAAAAATATTTTAAAATGGAAACACAAATGAGAAACTGATCTTCTCACTACTCAGCAGAAGACAGTTAAAAAAAACATGATAACCTACATTGTTAACATGTTCAGTGAATGAACAAGATGATTAATATCCTCACAAAATATGTATGTCCTTGAAATATCTATCTATACCAGTGTTTCCCAACCAGGTTTCCACGGAACCCTGGGGTTTTGCAGACCATCGTCAGGGGTTCTGCAAGAAATCGTGGAATAAATAAATAATTTTTTTTCTTACAATGTAAGCTATATATATATATATATATAAATACAGATCTTTACAAATAAATTTTCTTGACAATAATTTAGCAGTAATTGAATTGCGCTCCCCGCAGTCAACTTTTTCTGGCCAAGCAAATGTTTTCATAGGTAGGGGTTCCTCGGGATATGAAAAATTATTTTAGGGGTTCCTCCATGGAAAAAAGGTTGGGAATCACTTATCTATTGTTTTGACTTTACATTAACAAATAAGGCAACTTTTTGCTTTAATTCGCTGTCTGTAGTTATCATTCAGCAAGGGTAAAACATGCCAAAGAAATATGAGTAATTGCCCAAAGGGCTTACATATATAAAGGGAAAATTCTGCTCTCATATCCACAGGTTAGACCTTGACTGATTCTTCCGTCCTACCATGCACAGAAATTCTATACCTATAAGAAGAGCTGAATGACAGTGAAGATGTGCTATGTGTTTTTTCAAGGAGATTTTTACCCTAAAGGAATAATTTGATTATACAAACCAGATACACATGAAAGCATAGTTTTTATGGCCAAAGTAATGATATGTGGCATTCAAGAGAAAAATGAAGATAACAAATAGTGCTGTACAAAATATCTTTAGTTCTGAACTTCTTACATTAAAATAAGTTGCATCCATGCTACATCTCTATGTGCATGAATTCCACAGTACTTTCATTGTTTATGGCTTGAAAACACACAGGTCCAAAACTGAAGACTGATAACATTTGGGCTACGTCTACACTGGCCCCTTTTCCGGAAGGGGCATGTAAATTTCACAAGTCGTCGTAGGGAAATCCGCGGGGGATTTAAATATCCCCCGCGGCATTTAAATAAAAATGTCCGCCGCTTTTTTCCGGCTTTTAAAAAAGCCGGAAAAGAGCGTCTAGACTGGCCCCGATCCTCCGGAAAAAGTGCCCTTTTCCGGAGGCTCTTATTCTCACTTTGAAGTAAGAATAAGAGCCTCCGGAAAAGGGCACTTTTTCCGGAGGATCGGGGCCAGTCTAGACGCTCTTTTCCGGCTTTTTTAAAAGCCGGAAAAAAGCGGCGGACATTTTTATTTAAATGCCGCGGGGGATATTTAAATCCCCCGCGGATTTCCCTACGACGACTTGTGAAATTTACATGCCCCTTCCGGAAAAGGGGCCAGTGTAGACGTAGCCTTGGTGTTTTCAGTAACACTTACCCTGTATCCTCCATTAATGCTAAGGTAATCCGGGAGAAGACCCTGTTCTGTGTGTGGGATCCAGTCATTGCCTCATTCTGAAAATTACCAGTAACTGTTAGCAAGTTTCTGAAAAGTGATTTACAGAGTTGTCAGGCAAAAACATGTTCTTGGAAGTATTTTAAAGTTATTTTCCCACTAGATAAAGTTTCATTGCAAGTTAAGAAAAAAATTTAATATTTTTTGAAAATACCTTGGTGTGTCCTAACGACTTCCCTAGAAAACCTTGAAATTTAAATTTGTTCCCTTATTGCTTATCTCCACCAGCTAACATTGCTTTGATATTGTGGCTTAACCAAAGACTGAAGTGTCTAACATCTGTACTATAAAAAGGAACAATGTTGCATAGATAGTCTGATAGGCTAAATCAGTGTTTCTCAGTCTTTTTTTGCTCATGGCCCCCTTCTGAACCTCATTCATCATACGCCTGGCAGTTAAATTTGGGTGGCCCCCTAATGTTCTGGTTTTTTCCATGTGGCCCCCTAGAAGTAAGGCGTGGCCCCGAGGAGCCATATGGCCCATGTTGAGATTCACTGGGCTAAATGACCATAGTCTTTGTGATGGAAGAGTCAATTGCCTTGTTCAGAGAAATTTCTGTGCAGTGGAGATGGCAAAAGCCAGAATGAAGGGAATCATGGAAATACAGATGAGTGCTAAAATAGGTTATGTAGGGAAGAGGTAGATCCAGGTCCCCTATTACTGAAGGTTTTTTGTAACAGGTCAGACCAATTGTTCCCAAACTTTTCAGGGTCAAGCCCAGGCTACGGCTCTTGTGCAGGGGAGGACACGTGGACAGGATAAGGTGGCAAAGAATGGGGTCTCAGCTGCAGGGTCAGGGCAGAGCTGTGGCAGGGGTGGAACCAGAACCATGGCTGGGATATAATGGGGGCCAGTAGCCAGGCCCCCAAAGCTGGATGCTGCAACTGGGTGGCAGTCAGGGGCTGATCACAGGGCCACAGCTGAAGCAGAGTTGGGGTTAGAGTGGGGTTGCGTAGCGCTCCCTCCATGCCTCCCGTGGGGGCTGGCCTGGGCCTTGCTGTGCCCCCCAAAACACTCTTGTACACCCCTTGAGGGACACACCCCATAGTTTGGGGACCACTGGGTTAGACAAACATTTTTCAGGGATGTCTAGATATATTTTATCCTGCCTTAATGCAGAGGGAGGGGCTAGATGGCCTCTCTTTTCACAGCCTTACATTTCTATCATTTTATGAAGTCGAGGCAGTGACTAAACTGCATTATCTAGAATTAGAGACAAAAAGATGAAGAAAGAAAGGATGACAAAAAGATAAATTGGCTCAAAGGAAGTTCACCCTCCCCACATACACTCACTTAGTAAGCAAAAACTAACTTAAAAATGACCTTAGAAATGTAGTTTTCCTATGAAGAGGCTAATTTGTTGTACAAACTAAAGTAGGATCACTGCATATTACACATAGTGCTGTATTACACTAATACACTCTAAAGGGCAAGATGTGGAAAACAGGTAAAGAACTACAGAAATGTGAACCTCCAATTATAATTTGATGCTGTCTTTCTAGGCACTGGTGAACCTTGCACTCTGAGAATTAAGAGTTTGGCCAATGGTACAGAGGTTGTTTGGGAACAAATATAAATAACTCTAAGCTGTGCTGTAATATATTTCAGTTAAGTTAACACCAGTGGCTTTCCAATAGACCTACAGATACATTTGAAAAATTGAAAATCTGTCCCTTTCAGTGATAACATAAGTATATTTAGAGTTATTTACCAGCACTAACCTCCAACAACCGCTTTTCCCAGTGATTGAGCTCAGTACCCATGCCGCCTTGGTTTTCAAGCTCCATTCCCTCTAGGATTGGACAGTCAAAATGCTTCCGAGCTTCCTCCTGTAAACAGCACTGTTATTACATTGTTTACAACCCCCCTCTCAAAATACTAAGAAAAACTCAGATATGAACTTAAGGTTTTTTTTTAAATAGAACTATTTTAATGTCTTCCTTTTACCACAGTCTGCAATTTTCCTTTGAATGCAGAAGAACTTGTTCTTGCTGAACCTCTACCAAGCTAGTGAATCTCCCATTACTGAATCTAGCAATCTGGATGTTAGCAAGTAATATGTAACATACCATACTATTTACTTATTACAAGTTCATGTCACCGCCATCTGAAAACAATGTTTCACAAAAAAAGAAGCTGTATTCAAATAACCACCTTTCACAGTTAGGTATGTTTCAGAATTTCTAAACAAAACACCATTTTTCTAATATGAAAAAGTTTTGTCAAAATAAAAATTTTACATTGGAATTTTCCATCAGAAAAATCAAAACATACTTCCATTAGCTAACAGGGATCACAATGTTGCTTAAAATTTGTGGCCTACCTCCCAGCTCACACCTCACAATGTAACGAGTAACCAGGATAGGCAGAAGCCCCTTACTATAGTTAGTATTGGTTAGACCTCCCAGGTCCTTCACCCTTGGGTCATGACCAGTCCCAGATGAGAGGATTTGCCAGACCAAGAGAGGCAATTTCTGGTTCCCCTGCTACCACAGCTCACCCCAGCCCTGAACCAGCTGACCTCCTGGCCAACTTCTCCTTGCCACCAGCCTCACTGCTCTGCTGGTCCCCCCACCACCTTCCCTGCTATGCTGGGTTCCTGGCCCCACCAGGCAGCCTCACTGTAGTGCACTAGGCTCCTGGTGCCACTGGTCAGCCCTGCTGCAGTGTGTTGGGCTCCTGACCCCACCAGGTTGCCTGGCTGCCCAGCTGCTGGTGAGTCCAGCTGCCAGCCCTCCACCAGGACTCTCTGGTCCTGGAACATCCGGATGTTGTCAGACCAGGGAGTACCAGATTATAGAGGTTCAATCTATAGTACATCTTTAAATACCAGCTTTAGGATTTGGGCTACAAGCAGTCATTTCAAATTTCCTGAAAGTAAAGGTTAGACCAGAAATTCTGCAAAAAGGCTACAATACCAAAATTAATGTTGTGAAAGTACTGTTGTTGTTCTGTCTCATTTTTTAAACTGGTTTCTGGCCTCAATTTCCTTAAAAGTAAGTTAAAATTTGAGAAGAAAGACTGGATCAGAGAGAGTGGTGTAGAAGGAGCATAGAAGAGAGGGTCTCAAAAGTCCCTGAATAATTTCTAAAACAAGAGGAAAGATGTGATGAAATTTTTCAACTGAGACACTTTATTATAGCTTATTATTTGTCCTCTTAAACCTCAAGGCCAATTAACTGTTTATCTTATTTAAATATCCCTCAATTAACTACAAGTATAATTTTCTTTAAAGTCTGTCCCAAAGCAGATTATATTGTCAAATATTATTTTATATAATTCCTTTTAGTATCCAGTAAATTAACATTTTTGTTATCAATTAGATGGTAATGACTGAAGTTCAAGTATATGATCGTCATCAGAGCAGATACACTGTGAAAGAAGTTTAATTTAATCAGTACTTACAACGACTCGAGGGGTTATTAGAAGAAATACATCATGGCGCAGCATCTTATTACCGCGTATATCCCATAACCTTACTGCTTTACTGATGACCTTATTGCTCCACTGATACAAACCTAGACTGTAAGGAGAGTTTTAATTAGAGTAGTTTTATCAGTATCTAAGCAATAAACCTACGCTATGCTCTCAAACTGAAAATTATCTTCCATAAATGAACAGTACTCAGTATCCTCTGAATATGTATTTTAAATCCTTGTAGAAAATGAAGTAGTCTCACTGGACATTTGTCCTCCTTTCTAATATTATTCCTGGTTGTAAGCCTAACAACTCTGACTTTCAAGAAGCTAACAACCAGAATATATTTCTTACAAAAATGAATGGCCACTGTCAAATTAAAAAACAACAAGATTCAGAGATTTAAAAATATACCTGTCATTAAAAGGTGGGAACCCATCTGCATATCTTGCTGTCAAAGGATTTCCATCATCATCATGATAAAATGCAAATAGCCCAGCAGAGAAACCCTTCAAGATAAATAAAGAAAAATTTAGACAATACCAATAATCCATCTATAATAGTAAAAACCACTAAAAGATCAATATACAACCCCAAATATATATGCTGAGAATGTTAAACTTACATGCAATTAGCACAGATGTTGATAGATGCAAACTAAACCTTTTATATAAAGTAGCTGAGAGGATGTAAAGAAATAACAATATGTTAAAATATCAACTCTTACCAGTGCATGAATAATTTCATGTTTTACTGCAGAAAGCAGTCCAATAAATTCCTGAGCTTGAGTAGAAATCATATTTGGACACAAATTAGCATATCCTGCTACTGGCCTGCAAGACAAACATTGCTTTGTTTTATAAATTGGACTTTGATTAAATGCTGGGTGATTAAAAAACAAAACAAAACCTCATTAAATATGAAGGTAAGATGTTAAACCTAAAATGCACTAATCTGACTTAATGCAGATATCCCCCAAAGTGGGTGAAAAGTTACAGTCATGCCATGTAATATTTTCCCTGACTATACAGATCTGTGGTGTCCAACCAGTTCTGAAGTTCTACAGTGGCTACCGCAATAGCAAACTAGCCACACTCAACCGGCCAAGTAGCCATATGTGGCTAGCGTGTTGGACACCAAGGATATAGATTATCAGTAATACCATATATCTAAATAGATGTTAAACATAGCATACAAAAGTTACTGGAGTCCAGTAAGTTAACTCAGTGATTTTCAAGCTTATTTCATTTTCAAATCCCTACAATATTTCAAATCGAGGTGTGGACCCCTTTGGAAATCTTGACCACCCAAAATCAATTCCCCTCTCCCACACAATTTTAAAAAAAATCTTAAAAAAAGAATTGGTTTACTGAATTTGCTTTACTGAAGAGCTATATCACACAAGATCGGTATTTGTTCTTAAAAAACTGACTTGCTGCAGCAGAAACAAAAGTCTTCTTTCTTCTACCACAAGGAATTCTAGGTAATCTGTTAGCAAGCCCATGGAGTCGTGCAGATATGTGAGTTACACAAGTATTCAAGGATTATTGCTAGGTTAGTTTGTATCCACTGCTGTAATCTATTTTAAAATAAAGATATTTTCATTCTGCTTAAGCTTGTAAAACTCCAGGCAGCAGCAGAGAGGTCTTCATGAAAATTTAAAACAAAGTCCATCACTGAGATCAACTTCCACAAGGCTTCAAGCAGGTGATAATGGATGCAAATGCAATATCACAGTGTACGTACTTTGCAGATCAGGCCCAATCCTACTCTCATTTGTAGCAAGACGAAGGCTTAAAGCATAAACCCATAGAGCAAAGTACAGTAATAGTTGTCAGTAGACTCTACTGAACCACTACACATATACAATTTGTAACAATGGAATGATTCAATCCGTGGGAAATTTTCACTGCCCCCTAGATCATTCAAAGACTATCCCCAAGACGCTACTTTATATATAGGTACAAATAAATTATACGTCACTCCTGACATGTCAGGTTACCAGCCTCTGATGCTATTTAGGTATCACCCATCACCCTGTACCTTGTGGTTTGATTAGATCATCTCAATCTATCATGCAGTCATTTTAGACCCTTTCCTGAACCTGGGTCTGTATCTGTGGGGAGTGTCTTTTTTAATGAGCTGGTAGTACCATGTGCTTTAAACTTATGACCAGTACCAATTACTGTTTTGCAGTCAGTACCTAGCACTAATTACTGGTCTACATCTGGTCCATTACCAATTAGTGTTTTGCACTCTCAGCCCTGTTATGTGTCAAGTTCTGTGAGCAGGGGCCTCTTGCCGCACAGCTTAGCTTTGCTTTATATTAGCCATGTTTTGTCTGTTGTTAGCTAGGCTTCAGGTCTAAAACCAAGCCTGTGATACATGGGCTTATGTTTTAGGCCTTCATCTTTCTACACCATTTAAATTAGCAAAAGTTTTTCCATTTACCTCAATAGATGCTTTCTCCATTATGCATATTAAGGAAGGAGATTTAGCTTGGATTCCGAATTTCCCAGCTTCTCTAGAGTTCAGTGTTTGTTGTTGTTGTGGATTTTTGTGGGTTAAGAAGAACATTTAGGCTAATTTAATAAATACTGAAAATGTTTCTGTTGTCATAATTTATACTTGAAAAAATATTTAAGGAAAATATTTTGTTTTGCAAAATCTCAAAGTGGACTTCATGACTACCGACCAACAAAGAGAAAGAAATGAGAATGAATGTTTTCTTAAAGTGTAACCTATCAGCACTACCTGTTCCACTGCAGTAGAGTCATTTGAAGGCCAGAAAGAACCATCTAGTCTGACCTCCAAGCTACCAACATCATCCAACATCCACATGCGAAACTCAACAGCTGAAATTAGACCTACATATTACAGGTCACAGGAGACTGAATTGTTATATGCTATAAGTAGAGAATAAGAGGAAATGACGTGAACCAATGCCTGGAAAAAATATATATGCACTTGGATCATACTGCAAATGATGTGCAACACTGCAGCAGAGGAAGTTACAAGCCTCCAAAGTCACTGGCAATCTGACCTGGGGGGAAATTCCTTTTTAAACCTACATATGGCAGTCAATTAGAGCATAAGCATGTGAGCAAAAGGGAGCCAGCTGAACTTAGAAAGAGAATGTTCAGAGCTACATCAGGCACCACCCCACCACAGCCAGTGTCCCATCTCCCATTGTGACCATCTCTGATGCTTCAGTGGAAGGAAACCAAAAACCCAGAATACTTAGTCTTCAGTGTAAGTCCCTTCCTGACCACTGCAGGTGACCTGAAGCCCTGAAGCATGAGATTTTAGGAACATAAGAAATAAACAAACTACAGGCAGTCCCCGGGTTACGTACAAGATAGGGACTGTAGGTTTGTTCTTAAGTTGAATCTGTATGTAAGTCGGAACTGGCGTCCAGATTCAGCGGCTGCTGAAACTGACCGCCAGTTCTGACTTACATACAGAATCAACTTAAGAACCCCAGGCGTCCCCAAGTCAGCTGCTGCTGAAACTGATCAGCAGCTGATTCCAGGAAGCCCGGGGCAGAGCAACTCTGCCTCCACCGGAGCAGCGAGAAAGCCCCGTTCGTAAGTGCGGATCCGACGTAAGTCGGATCCGCGTAAGTCGGGGACTGCCTGTATATGCAATAACATGTCACTTACTTTTGAGATATTTTCTGCAATCTGGTAGCTAAATATTTATTTAGTTTTAATTTATTTATTCTTCTTTGAAAACCATGTTCTTTCGAAATCAGTTCACCTTATCGATAATTTTAAGTTCTGCTAGTGATTAAATTTGTATCTAGTTAAAGGGATGGGGACCTATGGCCCAGCATGCGGCATGTCTTGATCCGGCCCACGAGGCTTGGGCTCTCTCTTCCCACAACAGAGCAAGCCAGAGCTGGCTTGTCCTGCTATGGAGTCCGGAATCCCAAGCGTAACAGGCTGGATCAATGCAAGTTACAGGCTGCATCGGGCCCACGGGCTCTGCCTAGCAGGGGAGAGGAAGTGGTTCTTCATTCTGATGTCATCCCCTACTCCCTCTGGCTGGGGAAATGGCAGCTCAGAGAAGCTCTGGTCATGTGCTCACATGCGGTTCTACCACAGGCTGCTGGAGACGGTCTCCAGCAGACCAGGGGCACCGGAGCAGCTTACGAACGGGGCTCTCTCGCCCCGGAGCTCGCAGGTAGCAATCCGCCACCTCGACCTCCGGGGCGAGAAAGCCCCGTTCGTAAGTGCGGATCCGACATAAGTCGGATCCGTGTAAGTCGGGGACTGCCTGTATCCATTACATTAAGAAATACAGACCTACCTAGTGAGTTCAGCAGTGAGTCCAAAGACACCCCCCCAAAAATATTACTGGAATAAAATTAATCTAGAATAAATTTTTACCTGTCCATTTCTGCTTCCAATTGGCAGTAGGCTGCATATGCAATAATATTTTCCTGGCCACATCTTTCAGTAGTAAGAGCACTAACGTAAAGTACAAAATCAGCATCTCGAACTCCTTCGTGGTCTGTTAAGCCAGCAGGTCCACAATGCCATTCATTTTCACTACATGCCCTACATTGCTATGACAATGCAATTAAAACAGGAAAGATACAAAATAATTAGATAAATAACTTGAGTTAGAAATGTAACTGGATTCAAGACTTAGCATTTCTTTGAAGCCAAGTAAAGATTAGAAACCCTACTGTGGATCGGGTGAATACACTAAAGTCAACGTTTTTAAAAGTTATTGGTGACTTTGGTTCCTGAGTTTGAGTGTCCAACAGGAAATGTACTTTATAAAAAGGCCTTATTTTCAGAGGATAAGTAGTCAGCATTTTCAGAGTCAGATCTTTTATTGGTGTCTCCAATTTCTTTGAAGCCAAGTAAAGATTAGAAACCCTACTGTGGATCGGGTGAATACACTAAAGTCAACGTTTTTAAAAGTTATTGGTGACTTTGGTTCCTGAGTTTGAGTGTCCAACAGGAAATGTACTTTATAAAAAGGCCTTATTTTCAGAGGATAAGTAGTCAGCATTTTCAGAGTCAGATCTTTTATTGGTGTCTCCAAGTTGCAC